AAGCAGTTTTTCTGATTTAAAACCATGTTTAGAAATATCAAATAAATTCCAAAAAATATAAAACTATGGGGAATGATTGTAGACATGATAATAAACGTGTTACAAAGACTGGTTTTTAAAAAGGACCTCCCAAATGAAAAATATCATTATTTTGTAAAATAGTCCAAAACATGAAAATGTGAGTATATGAGTTTTGACATTTTAGATTAACCATATTTTGAAACAATACAAAATGATTTTATAGACTTGAAGAAAGATGTAAACTATTGTTATGAAGTCTATAAATAATGAATATAGTATTTTTACAAATACACATATAATGCACTAAAACATGATTTTATTGAACTAAATAAAATTGACATTGATGAAATCATATATATGCATGTAAGTATGAAAAAAAATATGTTTTCTAATTATATTCAATTGTTTCATATTAAAACTTAAAAACTATCAAACTAAAACATATATGTATATATATACAAAACCAAAACGTGTATGTGTGTATATGATTGAGCTTAAAGTACTAACACACATAATATAAACCTAAAACTAAATTTACCCAAGCTTGTGATCTTCAACGAAGCTCTATCTTGGTATACTTATGGATAAAGCTTGAACTTGAATATTTAACTTGAATTGCGTAGGCTTCACTCTATAATTCCACCAACCTCCATTTGATATGATCGTTATGGCGCAATCCATCCAACCTCCAACTCGTTGTTTGCCTAGAATAAATACGAAAACACAAATACTAGACAAACAATATTAGAAGTAAATTGTTTATTAAACGTTATCAAAACAAGAAGGCCAACATGAAGTACTCGTCGATTCGGATTTTATTAGCATTAGTGGCACAGCTGGATTTGGATTTGCTCCAAATGGACGTGAAGACGGCCTTTCTACACGGAGATTTAGATGAGGAGATCTACATGACATAACTCATGTGGTTAAAGCAGTAGAAAAGGAAGATTTGGTGTGTAAATTGAAGAAATTTCTTTATGGATTGAAGCAATCACCGCGACAGTGGTACAAGAGATTTGATAGTTTTATGATTGGCCAAGGGTACACGGGGAGCCCTTATGACCCGTTTGTTTATATGCACAAGCTACAGGATGGTGAGCATATTTATTTGTTATTATATGTTGACGATATGCTCATTGCTTTCAGGAATACTTCAGATATAGAAAAATTAAAAAAGAAGCTGTCATCTGAGTTTGAGATAAAGGATCTTGGAGAGGCTAAGAAGATATTAGGTATGGAGATTGAGCGAGACAGGGTGAAAGAGAGATTGAAGCTTACACAGATGAGTTACTTGCAGAAGATGCTGAAGAAATTCAGTTTTGAGGGTAATGCCAAGGTGATGAGTACTCCATTAGCTCCCCACTTCAAACTTTCAGCCTTGATGTCACCAGTTTCAATTGATGATCGGGACTATATGTCCAAAGTTTCATACGCCAGTGTAGTGAGTAGCTTGATGTACGCGATGGTGTGTACTAGGCCATATTTATCACAGACCATGAGCATGGTATCTAGGTACATGCACGACCCCGGGAAGGGTCATTGGGAGGGGGTGAAATAGATTCTACGGTATGTTAAAGGTATCATAGATGTTGGTTTAGTGTTTCAGAAGAATGAGAAGACAGGACAGAATTGTATTGGCTATGTGGATTCTGACTATGCTGGAGATCTTGATAAGCGTCGGTCCACTACAAGTTATGTATTTACATTGGCTGGTGCACCGGTGTATTGGAGATGCAAACTTCAGTCTACAGTGGCTCTCTCTACTACAGAGGCAGTGTATATGGCGGTAACTGAAGGTGTGAAGGAGGCTTTGTGGTTGCATGGACTGTTGGAGGACTTGGGGATTGCATAGGAGACCATTCAGGTATTTTGTGATAGCATGTCAGCTATCTATTTGGCGAAGAACCAAGTTTATCATGCACGTACAAAGCACATTAATGACAGATTTTACTTTTTACGTGACGTATTGGATGATGGAGAGGTCACGTTAGAGAAGGTCCACACAAAGGACAACACTACTGATATATTGACCAAAGTTGTTTCGCATGTCAAGTTTGGTCATTGTTTGAATCTATTGAACATTCTTTGATATTGAGGCTGTTGGCGGCCATTTGGGTGAACTACGTGAGCCTTGATTCCTTAGGTAAGAGGATACATAGGCAATCTTTTAGATGCAGCCAAGTTGGATTAGTTGCTTTCGATGGGGGAAGATAGTTTGCGCTCCCTTTTGGGTTCCCGACTTGTTGTGGATTGAGTCCGTTGTCATTGATTGGTTCCATAGCGTACTGGACGCAACAAGTGGGACATTTGAATGTTTTGGTGTTGGCTCGGTTTTGGTAGAAACATTCGCCGAGGTGGAGAATTGTAGAAATGGCGTCAAAATCCATGAGGGAACAAGCAAGCAGTTTCACGGTCTACCGCACATGGCTCTGCGGTCGACCGCAATGTGCACAGCACTGTAGTATGGCTCTGGATTTTTGACGGTCGACCGCACATTGTTCTGCGGCCGACCGCGCCCGAACCCAGAAGTTGGGAAACTCTTTGGAGTTTTTGCGGTCGACCGCGATATGTGCTCTGCGGTCGACCGCGATATGTGCTCTGCGGTCGACCGCGATGCGGGTTTGGTCAGGTTTAGTTTTCCAAACCCATTTCATTGTGAGTTTGTATATAACCCTAAACACTAATTTTAGGGTTATGTGAGGAGGGTTTTGAGCTGCCAAAAGAGGGTTTTGTTGCATCCATTGTGGGAGGCTTTGAGAGAGATCTAGAGAGCTTATTTTACGGTTTTTGGTAAGATTTGTAATCCTATTTGTATTCTCTTGATTTCTAATAGTATAAACTCCCCCTCCTTGGCCCGTGGACGTAGGCAACTTGCCGAACCACCTAAATTCGTGTCTTGCTGTGATTGGTGTATTGGTTGTATTGGTTGTGATCTATCTTGTTCTTGTGTGTGCGATTTGTTTGGTTTTCGAGTTCCGCTGCGCACAACAGTCATAAGATTTTGCATGGAGTGCCAAGGGACACAAATTTCAATTAGATTGTATCTTTTAGTATTTACTTATGTGCTATCTGAAAGAATTATGGGACAAGTTGTACTCCAGGCAAGACTTCAATTACAATTGGAGATGATTTGCAGAATATCAATGTTGTATTTTTCCTCTTTAGTTTTATTTCTAGAATTGTAAATTTAAACTCCCATATTGTTCTATTTTGTAGAAGTATCATTCTACCATTTCATTGACTGGAAAAGTTGTATACATGAGGCTTGAATAAAACAAACTCCTACGTAGTGCATCAAGGTTATAGAATGTTTAGCTGAACTTGTGAGCATAGGCTTGAATAAAACAAACTCCTACGTAGTGCATCAAGGTTATAGAATGTTTAGCTGAACTTGTGAGCATTTGGTTACACCTTCAATAAGCTCAAATGATGTTTAGCTGAACTTGTGAGCATTTGGTTACACCTTCAATAAGCTCAAATGATTTGTTTTTATTGGTCTATTCTTATATCCAACTGATATGCAATTTGAATCTTTTGCTATGAGGTTGCCAAGCTTTACGTAGGTTATCAAGTCACTACTTATATTGCCTTTTCAAATCATTTTGTAATAAACATACTTTTGCCTTTGCTACAGGAAGTGCAAGATGGATCTAGTAGATAAAATTCTAAGCTCATCAGAGGTGCATCTAAGTTAATTCCCTTAGTTTTGAGTCTCTATTAATAGAGAATCTAGAGAGAAGTTGACACTATTCTATTTCTGACTAATGTCTAGAATATATCAATAGAGCATCATCATTGGGTTAAGTGTGAAGCTCGAGATTGCCCCCAGATTTAATTTTCTGGAAAGCAAGGAGCCAATATTGACTTCCGTGTAACTTTTGATGTATACTATTATCAACCTTGTATTAATCCAAATAATATCATGTACATGTGATAGATAGTTTTGGATTATTGAAATATAAATCATTAAAGTGAATAATATGTGAAGATGTATATTTGTGCATGTTTGGAGTACTTTCCAACTCTCTGTCACTGGTATTCATGTCCATTGTTATTGTGAATATGAATGACTATATAGACAATAGATTTTGAAGTGTATATGTATACACGTGCCATCAACGAAAGGAAAAATCACCGTGAATGTGTTATTAGTTAACTAGTGTCAAAACAACGAAGGGCATTTTGAACCATCGTGACACATTAATGATAGTGGATAACGCCATCACAACTACTAATGATAGTAAATAGTACCATTGCAAATGTGAACGACAATTACGTAATCCTAGCAAGAATAGATGCTGCTTCAAGATGTAATGCTTCAGTTTGTCCTTTGTTTGACTAGGCGTCATTTTTTTCTAGGAATAAGCGGAGCTAAGCTCACATTGAATGGCTTTATATTGATACTATTTTCACACTCAAATCAAAATTAAAGAGAATTTAGTTTCAGGAGTATGTTTAGTAAACAATATGTATATTTGCAATGTCATGTGGTTTCAATAGGAACGCTCAATTTGAACCCAACAACAATTCTATTTCTATTTCAATGACAATCCAAACAAGAATAAAATGAAAGCAAAATGTATTAATTATTTCCTAAAAATATTTTCAAATATTATCCAAACAAAAAAAGTAAATTAAGAGGAAGAAGTTCTACTTCCATTACTTCTAAAAATATATGAAATAAACAAAAAATATATTATTTCCGCCAGTTCCTATTTCATAGTTTTGAAAATTACTTTTGTGACATACTTCTTACTTCCATTATCCAAACGGGCCCTAAACTTATATCATAGCTGGAAGTTCGTTCAGTTAAACTGCACTTAAATTGGTCAATTTCGTTATACAAACGACAGACCTGTCGACATGTTGAAAAATATACTTCTCATTTTTAGACCCACGATGCTGAAAAAGATACATACCATAACCAATAAGCCAACTGAGAACACTGGAGAAGGATCCCGCCCAAGTACTGGCACCACTAAAACCATCGTTCAAGACTCAATAAATTTATAAGAAGAAACCAAGATTATACAACACATTCGCACATCAAGCTCCTTAGCAGTTCTACCTGTTATATGCATTAAATTTTACATTCGAACACACCACAAGAGCCAAAAATTACAAACACTAACTTATTACATACACAACTGTTTCCAAAGTAAAGGAGAACTGTACAGACAAAAAATGAAGTACAAAACCCAAAGCTTAATCCTGTTTAGGCTAGCAGGATATGAGAAGAGCAAGCAGAGTTTTGATGTTCCAAAAGCTTCAAGGAAAGGAAATTTCAAGTGCTTGAGAACTATAAATTAAACAAAGAGCAAGCAGATCATCACACAACAAAAGTCACAATGCTGCAGTGTCTGATTTCATCCAGGAACGTAGTAATCCATCTTGTCCACTGGAAGATTTAAAACTGATGTGTCTGCCTGTACCACGACAAAAAACAAAATAAGTGAGCAATTTTCACAACATTTACATGTTTTTACGTATATGCACCAAGGGTGCAAGTTTACATATAAATAAAGATGATATATAATAAAAGATTAAGAAGAAAGCCTTTATGTACAAAAGATTAAGAAGAAGAATAAAGATTAAGAAGAAGAATTTCTTTATATAATAAAAGATAAAGAAGAAGAAAGTCTTTATGTACAAAAATCTCTCTCACGGCGATTTAGGGTGTACGTTACTTTAGCAACTTACCCATTTTCTTCATCGTTTTGATTGGATCTATTGGGTTTTTTAATTACTTTTGCCTCCTCTTTCTTTTCCATCTTCTCGATTAGCTCTTCTGTGGCTTCAGAAGGAGTTGACGATGTGGTCAAAGAAGCTTAAGTCTTAGGCTAATGTCATTACCTCAAATCTACCACAAGGATAGTGGATTGAACCTCACATTCATTCTGCAACAGTTTGCTGATTCTTAGCGCATTCAATATGATGAAGCTGAAGGGGATTAGGGGTCGAAAAATGGAAATTCAACTCTTAGTAGGTGATGCATTTGGTTTCAAAGCTTCTTTCTCGGCCATTAGATGTTTTGCGGACAAGAATTGGTCTGACGTCAGGAAACTTTAAGATTTAGCCATGGATTCAGGTACATTTACATCCAAATTTGATTCTACGGAGTCTAGATTAGCTATTCTGAAGAAAGGATTAGATATTCAAAGAAAGGCCATTCGACATTTGATAGTAAGCCGTTCATATTAAGTCCTTGGTCGGTTCATCTGAATATGGGAGAGGTTAATCTGGCTTCTGCTCTAATTTGGGTGAAAAGTCTGAATAGAAAATTTCATTTATGGAATGAAAAAGCTTTTGAGTAACTTGGCTAGTGTGATAGGAAAACCTATTTGCACTGATGGCGTTATGGCTACAAATGGGAGAATTGCTTTTGTCCTTAATTTCAAAAACCCACTGAACTTTAGGGGGCGTTGTGCATAACCCCGAAAACTTTGTTTATCTCATATAACCCCTGGAACTATAGGTGTCTCACAAAACCCCCCCTAAACTATACCTAATCTCATCTGATCACCCTGCCTGTAATTTGGAAATAACTAACAGGTTATTGTGTGATAATTCCAAACTTTGTGACTTGTCATTTACAAATAACTTAAATTTTGAGTTCTTTCCGTCATAAAGAACATTTTAGTTATTTGCAAATTACAGGCAGTGGAGTTAAGTGAGATAAGGTAAAGTTCATGAGGGTTTTGTGAGACACCCTATAGTTCAGGGGGGTTTTGTGAGACACCCTACAGTTAAGGGGGGTTATGTGAGATAATTGAAGTTTGTGAGATCAAAAGGTAGTATATCAATGAATTCCTTTTTTAAGTGTGATCATTGTAAAACATTTGGTCATAAGCATAAAATTTGTGTTAAGAGGAATGTGAAAAAGGTTTGGATGCCTAAGAAGGTGACTACAGACAATATGCTTCCTGAAGATGTTTCTAATGTTGTTATTTCCTCTTCAATTCCTAGTGAATCATCTGAGGTGAATGTTGTTAAAGAGATGAAACATTAAGAAAATCTCCCACCAAGTGAGACATGGCAGACTGCTAAGTCAAAGGAGAGGGAAATTACCAGTTGTTGATACATCTACTTCTAATACAAATAGTTTTCAAGCTTTACAAGGTCGTGTGAGAATGTTAAAGAGAATAGTTTTCAAGCTTATTGCTGGCATATCAAATAATCTATCAAATAAATCTGCATCATATGAGAAGAATTGGGGTAGTAGTTTTGCTGTTACTACGGATAGGACGACCCTAAATCCTAAGCCTGGATGAAATCCTTCCCTTGTCACAATATTAGGGGTCTAAACCACCCTAATAAGCAAAAAGAGGTTAAGAGCTCAATTCACAAAAATAAGTTAGCTCTTATGATTCTGCTAGAAACAAAAATTAAAGACATGCAATCAAATTTGGTGGCTGAAAAGTGTGCTCTTGGTTGGGAGTAGGCTCAAAATTTTTATCTTGATCCGTATGGTAGAATTCTTCTTCTTTGCTTTCAATAATATCTTAAATGGTACATTGCTTTGTCAAGGAGATTAGTGGTAATGACGTTTCTTATGCAACTTTCATTAATGGTTTTAACACAGTTAGTGTCAGAGTATCTTTGATGAATGATATCAGCCATATTGCTGCATCTATGTCCTCAGTGTGGGTTGTATTGGGTGATTTCAATCATTAGAGACATTGATGATAAAATTCAAGGAAAGCCTGTTACTAGAAGGGATCTTGGAGAGTAGCAAAGGCTTATGATTGAAGCCAAACTTTTAGATTTAAAATTTCGAGGATATCATTTCACTTAGAGTAATGTTCACGTTGTCAGCAAATTAGATAGAGTGCTTTGAATTTGGAATGGATAGATAACTTTCCTACTGATGTGGAATTTCTTGCCCCTTGGATTTCAAATCATAGCACACGCTCTTATCTGTTTGATGTTTCCATGAAAGCTTGTAATGTTAAAAGTTCTTTCAAAACTTTTGGCTATTGGTGTGATCACAAACCATCTTATTCTTCTAGCATTTTCATTATATTCTGGTTTTTTATTTTTGAGAAATTCATAAAGGTCATTGTTGTCTGCATGTACTGTAACAGCTCTTGACAATAAATAGTATCTAAATGTTTCTAGAGTTCTTTTTAATGCTATAAATTCTTTTTCAAATATCATATAATTTATTTATGCTTTTCTAAATTTTCCAGATGCATATATACATATATCATTTTTGTTTTCAATAGTAACTATGCCACCCCAAAAATAGTCTGAGGCATCAGTAAAAACATGCAAGTCATCTTTTGATTCTGGTATAGCTACCTTAGGGATATTTATTGCTACCTGTTTTATTTTATTTACTGTATCTTTTTCTAGTTCTGTTAGTTCTATATTTATTTTATCTGTGTTCCATCTGGATATAAGTTTATCTTTTTTTTTATATTTTTTGTTATTTTATTTATTTTTTGGATTAATGGATCAATTAATTTAGATAAATTCTGAAAGTATTTTCTTCCATAATCTAATATTCCTATGAAAGCTTGTAGATTTTTTTACGGTTTTTATTTCAGGAAAGCTTTTAATTTTCTTTATTATATGGTCTTGCATTTCTAATTGTCTTCCTATTCCTAAAAATATTTTATTTACTCTTATCTTTTTCTAGTTCTATTAATTCTATATTTATTTTATTTGTGTCCCATCTGGATATAAGTTTATCATTTCCTTTTTTTTATATTTTTTTGTTATTTTATGTATTTTTTGGATTAATGGATCAGTTAATTTAGATAAATTCTAAAAGTATTTTCTTCCATAATTTAATATTCCTATGAAACAAAGAATCTCTGCTTCTTCATAAAATTCAGTTTTCCTATCTGTGACTCGAGACTAGTACTATTCCTTATTGCAGAGATAAAATCACTTGCCAATTGTTATGTCCAGTTCAAGGCCTAAACTACTCACAACGCGGCCAAATACAGACCACCTCACTAGGCCAACTCTCAAACAATTAATCTCACTAAGATCCATTCAAGTCTCCCTCTATCGGTTTGATAAGAAAACATGAACTATAAGCAATCATCAACATGGTTCTTAACTACTGTTTACATAAACAAAATAAAAGCATGACTAGAGAGATCAGGGAGTATCCCTAAAGGTTGGAAATTATACCTTTACTATGGAAAAAATGGAGCAGAAACTGCTCTCATACCATTATAGTATAATAATATATTTTATTATATTAATATAATATAATATAATCATATGACATGATTTATATTATATTATATAATTAAATGTAATATACTAGCATATTCTTTAATTTAAATATGTTATATTATATTATACTATATTATTTTATTGGTTTAATATAATACACTATAATACAATAGCTACAAATATACAATAAAATATTAACTACAACTAATATAATATATTATATGATAATATATTATTAAAATATTATATAATATTATAATAAATATGGTGCACTATTATATAATATAGTATGTGATAATGCATAATGATATATAATAATATATAATAGAATAAATTATACATACAAATTAAATATAATAATATTTTATTCTATTACATCATTACATGACAATATAATATAATATATTGAATATATTATTACTTTATATTTTACATATCATGGTATGTATTTATAATATGATTAGCATGTATTAGTTAAGTAATACAAGAAGGTTTCAAAATTATCCCAATTGTCTTCAAAGTCGAACATAATTGTTCCAATGTGGATAATAGGGCAAATTTTTACTATTCGAACAAAATATTTGTATATGAGTGGGATAAATGTTCTAATAAATCAATAACACTAAAAGGTAATATTCTTGTTCCATTATCCCAATGACTAACATAAAATAGAATTCCCAAAAATATCACATTATACTCCCAAATGTCCCAATGAATAACCCCCACCCCCAAAGAGAATAAAAGGGTCCCCTATGTTTCAGGTGGTGCAAAAAATTAAGGTTGGTCAAGATTAAACTTAGGAACTCTAATAAGCAGTATTTTAGTGGTGTTTCAGCTAGGGATCAAAAATCCAGGGAGTCTATGATTGCCTCTCAAGTTCTTTTGCAAGAAAAACATTCTGCTATTGAATTGTCAGCGAGCTGGATCAAAAATCCAGTGAGTCTTTGACGGCCTCTCAAATTCTTTTGTAGGAAAAACCTTCTAATATTGAATTGCATGCTCAAAAGAGGAGACATTATTAGGAGTTTGTGAAACTTTTAAAGTACGAGGCGTGCTCTTTGCATCAAAAAGCTAGGGTGGACTGGTTATCATATAGTGATACAAATACGTTATTTTTTTTCAAGCCACAAGATGAAGCAAAGAATGTTAATGAATGTCATTCTTTACAAGCTGCTGATGGTAGGAGAAGTATTCCAGAAGACATTCAGAATGAAATGTTGTCCTTCTATAAGGG